GAAAATTCCATTATACCATATATATTTGGGGGGTTATATTGGAATCCGTGGAAATCTTTCATAGTAACCCCCACACCAAACCAATATGCACCCCCAAACGGAAACTTACCAGCACGCGTGGGGGGTCAGATTGGAACGGATTGCGGGGAAGGGGGGTCATATTGAAATGGTGGAGGGCTTATTTGAAATCTTTAAAATTTCTAGGGGTCTTGTTTTTAAGGTATACGCCGATTTAGAGTGCTAAGGTTATTTTTATTTGGAATCTTCAACATTTCTACCCGTTTTTGCCTAATAGTAAGCCTATTTTTTGTTGGGGACTGGCATTAAATTATTATTTCTCTAGTAGAATGACAAAAAATGTACGGTAATATAAACCAAAAAACCGGTGCAAAATCGATAAATAACAAATACTTTTCTATGCGTAATTTGGCTGCGTACGTTTGATCTTCAGGCAAAAAATCAGGAAAAATATTTTTTGAACCCCCCACCCACCTTATGAAAGATGGTGGGTGTGGGTGTATTCCAACATTTATGCCAGGGGTGTTATGTTAGAATATATCGGGGGGTTATACTGGAATATACCCCAAAAATGGTTCAAATTTCCTAGAAAGTCTGACAATTTCAAATTCTTCATAAAATTTTCAGTTTTGACATTTTTTTTCAAATTTGTGATTGCAATAGGTTTTGGATCGGATCCATCTCTATTAAAAAGTGTTTTTTTGCAGGAAAAATTCAACATCAAAAATCAGCAACAAATTTTGCATCATTCTCGAAAGTTAAATATCAAAAGTATTCCATGTAGCCCATAATCATAGAGATCATACTAAATTTATGATGCTATCTATTTTTCATTTATTTCAAAGTTTGAATTTTGTTCTTGAAGTTTAGGATATCAAAGTTTTTTGTGAAGTTTCCAAAAAATTTATGAGAAATGAAGATTTCGATATTCCTTTTGATTTTTCATTTTTCTGAAAATCTGACTTTGAATCTGACAAACTTTTTGGAGTTTTATGAGAATGGTAGTTCTATATTTGTATTTATTTTACTTTTTAAAATTTTTAGCGGGAGAATGCGCATTTAACTACACACAAATCAGTTCCACAACAATTGAGCACTTTCCAAAATGCAGTACAATATATGGAATTCTGGTCATCAATGAGAAAACTGATTTATCGATTGATCAAATGATTCCATATTTTGAAAATATTGGAGAATGGTTTGGAGGGTTACAACTGGAAAATACCAATTTCACAAGTCTCGGATTTTTTTCAAAACCCAAAAATGGGTATGTAACAGTGTATTGTGAAAAATGTGCGTTTTGAAAAATTCAATTTCTTAAAACACATTAATCGTTTTCCAGTTGGATTTTATATTCGAAATAATCCCAATCTCACCGACTACAGTATCCTTCGATCATTTTTCATGCACAGTAATGGTGATGGAAAAGAATGTGATATTCAGATAACAAATAACAGTCAGCTGGATGCAGAATCTTTTTGCGACTCTGGATTTTTTCATTATTTTACAGATTTGACAGTTAAAGGGAATCTTAAAGATTGTGGTGAGAAGAGAGAGGACGAAGACAGTGAGAGTGTCTGACTGTCTGCTTTTTGTCGTCTCCTAACTTTGACTGTCTATATCTCGGCTCCCAATCGAGCTACAAATTTAATTTCTGAACTGTAGATAGTTACAATAAGGTCCTATTTGAAGTTCAAATGCGAGTTAGCTAGGCCAATTGTGAATAGAGCTGGATCGCAGACAGCAAGACACTCTAATTTTCCAGGTTGCCAAGGCGATGAAATTGATGATTCGAATTTATCCACCTACAAATCCTGCACCAAATTATACAATGGACTTCAGTTGAAAAATATGAGCAAGATTGGAACATCAAATTTGTCGAAAATTCAACAAATTCGGGGAGTAATTGATATCGTGGACACAGATCTTGAGGATTTGTCGTTTCTTAAAAATTTGAATATTTTCAAATATCGGAACCAATGGCTCACAGAAAAAGTTTCATTCAATCTTCAGAATAACTTGGAAATGAGAAGATTTGGTATTCCGAATTTCCAGGTGACGTAATTCGAATTTAATATTTCTAGGTTGATTTTTTTTAATTCCAGACGATTCACAACACAGAATCCATCGACCAAAGCAAGGAAGAAGGAATTGCCCTATTCAATTTTGAAAATCTACACCCAGATTTTTGTTTAACCATTGACGAGATAGTTTTCTTCCTGAAAAGCGGCGTAGCTTTTCGAAATTTGGATTCGAAAGTGTGCGCGACAAAAGATAAATTCAAAGGAAACGATATTTGTCGTTTTGAGTCTATGGAAAAACTCGCTGAAAATTGTTATATGATTCTTGGAGATGTTACGGTAGACTCTGGAGATGAGCAATACTTTTCAAAGTTGAGAGCAACTCATTATCTATTTGGATCGATTAGAATTCGAAACACGACTCTGAAAAGTTTGGAGCATTTATACAGACTTTTGTACATTGTGGATCTTGAAGATGGTGGACCAGTTATTGAAATAAATTCGAATAAAAAATTAAGAAATGTGAATTTTGCTGGGTTGCAGGTGATTTTAAAAGTTTGAAAATCCAATTTGAAAAAAAATTCAGAGCATTTTCACACGAGATGCAAATCGTACCGCCTTTATTCAAGACAATCACCCGAAGATTTTTGAAAGTTATGATGAAATTTGTTCATTGGTTGAATCCACTGATATGTACAGAATCTATCGAACTCGTTTAAACTTTGTTGGAGGAAATTGTGGTGGGAGCAGAAAAAATATAGAATTCGAAAAAGATTAAAATATAGAATTCGAAAATTTTCCAGCAACTGAAATGGAGACAATGGAATTGAGCAAATCGTCTTGGCTCATGGAGGATAATTTTTCAACTAGAGCAGATTTTGTGATTTTTTTCTTGATTTTTTGCAGCTGGTTAATGTTTGAATAGAGTATGAAAAATGCATTTATTAAAGGTGGTGTACGGTGAAATTTTTTATTGCATCAAAATGTGCAGAAATGCATGTAGATTGACATAAAAATAAAGAAAAAGTTCAAAAAAAAATTCCTTCATCGAGAAAAACGCATCGAAAAATACGCTGAAAGCCCTTAGGGACGAGGTTTTTTCTACGCTGCCCGGTGAGTAAAAGCGCGCGAATTCAAACTTTTAAATTTTTTTCGCTCGTTTTCACTTTTTTTCGGTTTTTTCAAGAGTTTTCTAGGTTTTTGTCAATTTTTCTTCCAGATACATCGGAAAATTTGAAAAAAACAGTGAAAACGAGCGAAAAATTGTAAAAGTTTGAAATCGCGCGCTTTTACTCACCGGGCAGCGTAGAAAAAACCTCGTCCCTAAGCACTTCCAGCGTATTTTTCGATGCGTTTTTCTCGATGAAGGAATTTTTTTGAATTTTTTCTTTATTTTTATGTCAATCTACATGCATTTCTGCACATTTTGATGCAATAAAAAATTTCACCGTACACCACCTTTAAACAAAAAGTTTTTTTTAAATTTTCATGCTGAATAAAGGTTTTGAAAAAGTTATAAATTCATCAACTAAGTGGAATATTATTGCTCCGAGTTCCTTGCACTGTTTGATTCTTCTCTCCACTCGACAGCCACGAATATATTGGCGTTATGCAGTCTTTAAGTGTACCTGAAACTTTTGAAACGAATTCATCAAAAAAAAAGTTCTTACTTCTCACAGCTTTTTTGTAATCTTTCACAACATAAACCACTATCATCGAATCCATAGCTGGATATAAAGTGAACGCACATAGAAAGATTCCGGTTGGTAGATTAATTTTTAGATTAAAAAGTGGAAGATAAATAATAAGCATCGCTGGAGCAAATAGAGTGATAGTTGGGCTCACCATTTGAAGGACTAAAGTTTTGAAGAATTGTCGATGTAATGTTCTCAAAGACACGGATAACATCTGAATCTTGGCCTCCATTCCCAGATACATTCTAACTGCACAGTAGATGATCAAAGTATACTGTACAGACGCGACAAATGACATGTTCAAAGTGGCAGACACATTCCACCATCTGATGGAATTATCGGGGTTATAGGCCACTAAAATCGTTCCCGAAAGTTCTGAAACATCGATTCCGAATTTTTCTCTCATGCTTTCGTTTATATAGCTTCTGGAGTATTCGTCAATTTCGTTAAAAAGAATAAGTCCATAGCCCCATAGGAACCCAAAGAAAGAGGAATAGAGAATCCAAATGAAAAATCTCCAACCTTTGAAATATAGGAGTTTGGTTTCGCTGAAAAAAAGAAAAAAAACTCGAATTTCTCGAAAGTTCTGAAAATATTCATTCTGCGCACCAAGGCTGTCGGAAACAGGGCCGCGGTCGGCCGTGATTGAGGCTGTCGGTATGTTACCGTGGACCAATCATTCCGTTCTATTGAAAATAAGCTCAGTCAGCCAAAAATTACCAGGGCCGCTAGGCTGCCTCGGCCCTAATTCAACAGCCTTGCTGCACACTCTCGGACTGAGCTACGTCGTCGTAACCTAATAGTAAGATCTGAAAATCCTACCGAAAAATTGCCCAATATCTATATAAAAACTGTACTGATAACATTGAAACAGTGAATGCATAAACTACACCATAAAATCCCAACGCAATGGTAACTGCATCTTTTCCCAAGCCGAATGGACGACTTGTACTGTAGAAGACATATGAGGCGTCGTGATGGAAGACGTTCTGAATTTAAAATTCAAAAATTTTAACATAAAAAGTATCCTACCGGGTACAAAACAATTTCGAGTGTCGCGAAAAAGATGCCAAGCGCTGGGAACAAAACCAACAAATATGTATAGCTTCCGAAATTTCGTTTGACTTTGAAAATCGTTAGATAGATCAAGATGGAGCAACAAATCGTGGCTGACAGGAAACCAATGTCAGCGACAATTTTAGCATATTGTACATAGGTTGAGTAGGTTCCGTTCATTTTTTGAATACAATAAAAAATGAAGATCAATGAAAAATATACCGTATTTTCTCAAATTGAAGTCACCAGAAAATATTCAAAAAAGGAGGAAAATGTTTGCAATAACCGAATAGACGGACTGCACTGTACCACTTGCACTAACTGAATTGCACGAACTTCTGTTAGAGGGTCTGTTTCTATATTTTTAAGCACGTCGGAGGATAGGCTGCTATGAGAGGTGGGCTCCAAAAGATGTGAGCTTCTATTAGAGAAAATCGTACAGCGATTCATGGAAAGATAGACAGGAAGGAAATTGAAAGGAAATTGGTTATTGTCTGGTAGATGTGGCTGGCGCAATGTGTCTAGTGTTCTGAATTCAGATGAATAATAATAACTGGAAAAACAAATGAGTCAAACCTTTTTGAAGCAATTTATAACACCCCAAAAAGCTTCTCGATACTGGGAAGACATTGTGAAGATCAGTAAACAGTGCATAGAAGCGTTAATGGAGAACATGGCGTCACAGAGAAATACAATATTCCGGGAAAACTCTCTGGAATTGTTTTTATTTTCTGAAATGTTGCTCAAAAACAGGGAATTCCTTTTGAACAGAATTCAATTTCAATAATGTTACTGTTAAAAATGGCCTTTTCGGATATTTTGGGAATGTCAGAAATTCCGAGTTTTTAAAAGTTTAGGCTTCAGATTATCCAGATTTTGAAATTTTCGAAATTTTCGAAATATTCTGAATTTCGGAATCCCGTTTTCGATCAGAAAAACCCTAAAACTGACAAAAATATTTACAAAATGCCAAAAATGTAATACCGTTTGAGACCCACAAGGTAACAATTCGCCGGTTTTTTTCGTCATACCGTATTCCAAAAAGCTCAAATTTTGAAAAAAAAATTTGGAAGTATTCTGATCGCGAATGGATAAGGAAAAAAGCTTCGGAATTATTTTCAATGAATCTCATTTTGGTTTTTTTTGCGGAATAATTGGTCGAAATTTTATTCCGAAAATGATATCAATTTTCAAAATTTTTGGATTTCCCAATTTATTTATGATCATCCCTGGTAACGACTGCGTAGCTGTAAAGTCCAAAAAAACTCACTTATACCGATAATCATCCATCCAGATTGCATTACAAATTCTGATTATTCCAACCGGAAACTCAGAGAGGAAAAATAACAACGAAATGTAAATTGTAAGAATTGTGGTCCGATTTTTATTGGCTATAACACATCGGGTATCAGGTAAAACCATTTTGATGGATTTTTCTTTTGCTTTTAATTCTTAACAAAATTCTAAAAGCCACCTTGGAAAAAACGCCTTCTAATGCAAACCCAACTCTTTCCAGAGTACGATTGTTGAAATCAGAAAATTGATTAATTTTTTGTTTGAAAACTGGATACGATATATTTTCCATTTGACACCTGGGTCCTGGATACCATGTATTAACTTCTTGAATATCTTTTTTTGAGTAGAATAAAAGAGTGAAAATGAAACTGATGAAAAATGTGAACGTTGTGGTTTGAAATCCAAACTTTGGAGTGGAAAAATGAGTTGTACGTGTGGAGATGTTAGAAATCATGAAATATCGGATGACAGTCAATAGCGTACCGAGCCAAGCGGAACATCTGCGTAATGCGTTGTGTACGGAAGTAAGAAACCAGTCTAGACCGAGCTTGGATGATGACCTTGGAGGGGTACTGCAAATTTTAGGAATGTATGATTTATATATTTATGAGGTCTGGGAAAAGTGTCAAGATGTATTCAAATTATCTTACCATTCATTCATCAAACTAAATATCAAATATCCATTTCTCGCAATCACCACCATACACACAAAATCACAAATTGCAATTCCAATCAATGGAATATTGATTGACGTCTTTCTTAATGATTTTCTGATGAGCACAATCAGATGAATAATGTTCAATAACGCGCCAATGTTTGAAAACAAAAATTCCAGCCATAAGCTATGTGAAACAATATATCTGAAAAGAAGTTTTTCTAAAAGTTACATATTCAAAATGAAAGGACGAACTGAAAATGTTCCTCGTCGTATTTTTTCGCATATTCCGGTAAAAATTTGCCTCCGGGAATCGAAATAATTGAAATCATTGTAGTTAGGACGACTCGAACAAACAATACGAAAATTTTCAGACAGAAAAAAACATTCTAGACACAACGTTTTATCATGTCCGGTACAATATAATAAGTTCGGTAAAAAAACAAAAAAAAAAAGCAATTAGTCGAAGGTGCAAAAAATATAATCAATAACTACTCATCGCAATGGCCACTTGAGATTGTTTCTGTAAAAATTCAAACTTTAAAAAATCAAGTTTCGCGTCCAACCTTATTATTAATTCAACCGTCCAACAAGATTCAATACAGTTTTTCGGTGCTGTACAGGCATATCAAAAATAGACAATGGATGTTTGGACTTCGATTATTTATATAAGGTCCGGTAACCGAAATGAAAGAAAAAACATCAAACCGTTTCCTTATTATCACGTTCTCCCCAACCACGTTTAGAAAACAAAACACCCATACTACTATTCAAAATGCAACAAAAAATTGTGATTGACAGGAATTGTGCCGTCCTAGATATAGATCAGTGAGACCTATTCAGGACGGTATTTCGAGCATGTTGGACAAAGTTACTAATCAACGACTTCATTAAATAGGAACATATATTGAGAGGGCGCGAATCATGCCGAGGTGGTGGAGTGCTCCGAATCGGTGTTGCATCCTTGTTCGTTCAGCTGAAGTAGGCCTGGTCGTTGGTGAAGTGGCAGCCATCGGGATCGGCTGGAAAGACTAACTTGATTTTTTTGAAAAATGAGTCAAAATCGATGGAAATTTTCATCGGGAAGACTTCATCAAAATAGAAATGTTTTCCATGGCTCATTCACCATCTTGCTGGTGGTTAGTGGACTTTCCAACAAAACTGGGCCTCGGCCCATGAGGCAAAATCAACAAATGCGCTATGCCAAGCAAAATTCTAGAGATCTTTCCCAAGCATTTGAGGCTCTGTAACTCCCCTGTTCTGAATCGCTCAATCATTCTTTTTTGGTCCGCATTAGAGTCACATATTGATAGAAGAAATTTTAGATATTTTGAAAACTTGAAGAAAGAATTGGTCGCCGGAAAGGTGGTCAATTCATGAAATTTTTATAACATCATATACCCAGTCATATAGTTGTTGTTCAATAAAGAATTGTGAAGATATCTCTTATTTGAAAGTTTTTATAACGGGTTGAGTGGGTTCCCATAATTTCTTGTCACCCTGTATTCCCCGTTGTGTTTTGTCGAATGATCTGCTTTAACTTTGCCTCCAGGAATGGAAGTAATTGAAATCATAGAAAAATCATATAGATAGGAAAAATTGAACGGTACAAATTTTCTCAGACAAAGAAAAAAACGTTCTAGACACAACGCTTCATTATTTCCGGTACAATATAATAATTAGGTAAAAACGAAAAAAAAAAGTGGAAAAGGAGAGAGAGAGGGAAGTTTTGGCTCTTTATGATTTAACGGGGGTTTAAACAATTAACGGGGGTTTAAATTTTTGAAGGGGGTTTAAAAAAAATTCGAAAAAAAACGGGGGTTTTGAAAATTTGAAGGGGTTTTGAGAATTAACGGGGGTTTAAATATTCGACGGGGTTTTCAAAAAGTGTCAGGACGATGTTTGGGGAAGTCCCCAAAATGTTCCAAAGTGCTACAGTTTCTTGTTCTTTGCTCCTTTCAGTTGATTTATTCTTTTCTGAAATCATTTTCTTGTTTTTTTCTTTTTTCATTTCTAAAGTTTCACGGCACTGTTGTAGAATTACGGAACGAAAAAAACTTTATCCAAGTCTATCATCTAACCTTGGAAGCAGTTACAGGAGGCTTAGAAAGGGAAGGGCGATCAAATAGTTGCTCTTAGAAAGGTTGAATGGTGTTGGCGAGTCAAGTGATCCGGGAAAGCGGTACACTTGTATTTTGGATTCGAGGTTAGAACTAGCAGAGTTATGAATCTTGCCGCCAATTTTCCGATGACTTAGATGAAGGAAATATGACGTTTCAGCCTAAGCCTATAATCTACAAAGGTTTCCTAGTGTCACAATTTTTCTACCCATTTTTTAATGTGATTTTCATTCGTTCCGCAATTCTAGAACAGTGCCCTAAAACTTTAGAAATGAAAAAACAAAAAACAAAAAAAATAATTTCAGAAAAGAATAGATCAACTGAAATGAGCAAAAAACAAGAAACTGTAGCACTTTGGAACATTCTGAGGACTTTCCCAACCATGACTCTGAAACCTTCTGAAAACCCCCGTTTAATATTTAAACCCCCGTTAATTTCCAAAACCCCCGTCAAATATTCAAAACCCCCGTTAATATTTTAAACCCCCGTTAATTGTTTAAACCCCCGTTAAATCATAAAGAGCCGAAGTTTTCGGGGATTGTTCGTGCTGAAGGGTTTATATGAACAAAATTTTGAGAAATATATTTTTCATGTCCCTCCCCCTTTCAAAGTTAACAAAAGATCATCAACAGCTACTCATCACAATGACCACTTGAGATTGTTTCTGTAAAAATTCAAACTTTAAAAAATCAAGTTTCGCGTCCAACCTTATTCTTATAACAATTCAACCGTCCAATAAGATTCCATACACTTTTTCGGTACTGTATAGACATCGCGAAGAAAATGAGACAATGAATGGAAGCGTTGATTGTGAAAATTGCGTCACAAATGTACACAATGTTCTGGGAGAGGGTTCTGGAAATTCTCGGTCTCAGTCTCCATTCCAGTGACGGTCTCGAAACTCACTCATAATTCATATCTCCTATCCATATCACTTTGTACATATCGACTATTCCAAGTGGAAATTCTGATATCAAAAACGATCCGGCAACAAAAATGATCAAAATTGTTGTTCGATCTTGTCGAGATTTCCTTGACTTCTTGTTAGCTACGGAAATTTCCAAAGTAGAGGAAATCCTAGATTTCCGAATTTCATAAATTAAAAGTCCAGTTAGAACAGGAACAGCTAAGCACGGAATAAGCTGAAACCATTTTTGGCGAATCCTGAAACTAGGAAAAAGTACCTTCGCGAATATTCCTTCTAGAAGCAGCCGTCCTCTGGCAATCAAAGCATTGTTAGACTCAAAAAAGTCATTGAATTGTTCTGAATAAACAGTGAGTAAGCCATCAGACATCCCACAACTTTCATTCGGATGCCATGTACCGATTTCTACAATATCCACGTGGAGATAGAATAGAATACTGAATATGAAACTGATGGAAAACGCGTAAAGTGTGATTTTCAAGCCGAATTCGGGTGAGGAGAACTTGCTATTATTGGCTGGGATATCAGTGATCACGAGATAACGGACAATGGTCATTGACATGGCTAACCATGCTGAACATCGACGTAGTGCGTTGTGAACAGTAGTCACAAGCCAGTCTAGACGCATTTGGTTCAACGAACGAGGTGGTGAACTGAAAAGGATAATGAGAAATGTGAGTAATGAGTACATTGGAAGTTGTGAGTACGTTATTAGTCAATATCTTAAAAGATGGAGAGATTGCTAACATCAGTGTTGATGTTGAACTTCTTGATTAGTTTTTCACCAAGTTTATCTCTTTCGAATGAGACGGTACAAAAAAGATGCTAACTACAAAAATAAAGTTCTGTACTTGGTTGATAGTTTCTGTAATTCACAGAGGAAACTGACTAGTACTAGGTACTTGTTCAGACACTCAATGATTACCATTTTGCACTAAAATGCTCTTTTGATTTTTGATTTTTTCACAGTAAATGGTTCACATTACACGGTGAATAATTCACGAATAGCGCACAACTGGTGATTGTTGACGCGTTTCTCGAGCATCGATAAAGAAGTAAAATTCAAAAAGTTTAAAAGAAATTAATTTGTTTGTGAACCGACATAGTGATGGATTTGTGAGTCTAGGGATCACTTTTCCCTCAATTCTTTTCTATCTAGGTATTCCACGCCAATTCAAGCCAAAATTTCCACGCCAAAAATAACACGCCGAATAAATAAGCAAAGAATTTTGGAAAATATTTTCAGAAAAAATTTATATCAAAATGTTTGCGAGAAAATTCTGAACAAAAGTTACTTAATTAGAAAAATTTATGATGGACGGTATTTTAATAAATCCCCAAAAACCTCGAAAAATTGAATTTTTCAGTTCATTTTCTGAAAAATGTATCTCCTCATAGGTGATTCGCGAACAATCCGTTACGGACGCTCCGCGTTCGCGCGCGGTTGAAATAGGAACCGTATGCGGACCATACGCGAACCGTTTCCAGCTAAAAACAGCACATTATTGCGGGTTACTCCGTATTCTGTCTGTTCGCGAACTCCGTATCCGATCCGATCGCGAATAATGAACGAACGGATTCGTACGCGAACTTAAATTCAATTTAAGATCGCGTACAGATCCGTTTGTTCATTATTTGCGATCGGACAGAATACGGAGAAACCTAATGTACTGTGTTTTGCTCGAAACGGTTCGCTTACGGTCCACATACGGTTCCTATTTCAACCGCGCGCGAACGCGGAGCGTCCGTAACGGGTCCGTTCGCATTTTACCTGTGCTGCGTCAATTCTTAACCAAATTTGACGCGTTTAGGATCATTTTGTGTGTTTTTGCTCCTTCATAATTGTTACTTATCTTGAAATCAAAATTTTTGACCCAGAATTTTTCATTGCCGAAAAACCTAATTTTTCACCGTATCGCAAAAGGCGCCCACAAATCCGAAAAAAAAATCAAATTTCGTAAATTATTCAATGTGCATTATTCAAATAAAAGTAAAAATTTCGTCGAAATTTTGAAAATTTGATTTTCTAATTCACTAAATTCTGAATACCGTTAGAACTCTATTAGATAGCCACCCCTAATTGAATGCCAGCCCCTAATATAATGCCACTGCGGATTTTATGTCACTGTGGTAAAAATGGAACCCAAAAGAATAACCCAAAAAATCTTTTTTTGGTATTCTGGCGTTTTTCAAGCTTAAAATAGGTACTGTATTTGTCAAAAAATGCTTCAGGATAATACCAGACTCCGAAATTCTCTTTAAAAAAGACGAAAAATCAAGAGAACATCTAAAGTCATTTTATGAAAAAGTTGAATATCGAGTGCTTTTGTGATGAGTTTCAGTAGAAATCGACTCCGAACAATAAAGTGCCAGCCTTTAATTGAATGCCACTCCCTAATACAGTGCCACCCCAGACCACCTCCAAACAATACAGTGCCATAGCTATCTAATAGAGTTTTTATGGTATACGAATTCCTGAATTTCTGAACATCAAATTTAAACTCACCATGGTTGTAACGTCTCTAGTAAAAGAAGATCATTTTTTATGATTATCCCCATACAAGTCAAGTCACAAATCGCGATTCCAATCATTATAATATTCGTAGATGAAATTCTCATCGACCTTTGGCAAAGTATAATCAAATGAAAAATATTCAGAATCGCTCCAATTTTTGAGAAATAGAATTCCATATACAAACAATAGTTCATAACACTTCTGAAATTTTAAATCGATATTTTGAAACTTCAAAATCGTGCTTACCTAACAAATTCAGAAACATAACTATCAAGTTCCTTGAATCCATGTTGATCAAAAGAATTGAAATTCAAGTAAGAAATCATTTTATTAAAAAAAGTTTTATGAAAAAATGACGAAAATTTGGAGAAAACTGGAAAAGATGACAAAAACCAAAGATTCACGGTTGACTGAACTTCTGGTTGTCTATGATAAAATCAAAATTTCAAAACTCAAAAGTTTCAAAAAAATTAACTTCCTGGATATAGAAATTGAACTGAAATTAGCAAACGAAGTGTGAAAACTAATGAGAATACTGATCGGCAAAGTTAGAAAAAGAAGCAACAAAAAAACAACAATTTTTAGCTTTCTAGAAAATCAGCGAACTAGAATTTTCAGAACATTTTTTTTATTTTAAAGAAAAACTGAAACACAGAAATTCAGAAATATCTAGAATCTGCTCCAGAATTTAGCACAGTATGCACCATGGTTGTATTGTGTTCAAATTTGAATGGCATCATTTTTTTCATAGTTTTCCGTAATAAATTGTTGGTTAGAAACATGGTTACGGTAGACGCGGCACCATGTTCCTGAATTATCATAACTAGGATATATGGGAGATATGGAAATTCTGGAATTTTATTTTATTTTATTTTATCAAGTTTTTATACTTACGAGACAATCTAACCATTACAGAAATGGCAACTAATACCCCGAGCAGGGGATCAAAATGCATACAATATGGACCAAAGTCTGAAAATGTGAACTTTGCAATTCAAATTTGAAACCACGGCCGATAAAAATTGACCTACCGTAAGAACCAAACTTTGCAAAAAATTCCTGTGAATTTCTGCGGTTTTATGGGATAATTTAGATTTTATAGAATTCAATATTTTTATGGTAACTACTAGAGAAGATATACAGCAAAAGAAGCAAAGGGCAATACCAAGAACACAAAATGCGTAGAAAGTTAGAAACATTTTGGAATCGAAATTCATGAAAAAGCAATTGTCACACCACATGTACGGTTGGAATGTACCAAATCGCTTAAAAAATTAAGTTTAAAAAAAGCTGAAATAAAAAAGGCTGGAATTTGCCGCACCTCTGGAAAATGGAAAGTTCGTAAAATTTGGAAAGTTTGAAAATATGAATTCTTGGAAGTTTTAGAATAGGTACGAATTCAGAAGTTTCAGAAAGTTTATGAATTTTGGACAACTCAAAAACCAACCCACCATTTCCATTTTCATCTTATAATCCTTTTGATATTTCAATGCTGGATACATTAAAATTGAGAACAGTGCCAAAAAAATCACAGTCACATATAACGAATTTCTCGAATAATACACTGATTTTCTCATTTCCGTAATTTCAATCCTGTGAAGAATCACCGCTTCCATACGGTAAACAAAGAGTGAAACGACTGAAATTCCAGTAAAAATTATGCAAAATGGAAGGAGTTGGAACACAATTGGAGCATATTCAGCGGTGAAACTATTGGAGCACATTATTGGAATCGGTAGAACAATATTGACTCTCCAAATGTAGTTCATATGAATATCCAGTAGAAATCCTCTGGAACTTTTTAAAAGAAAAATAAATGATCTTTTGGTACCACTTACGACAAAATATGAGCTACTAGATAATTTCTATAACTTTGAAAATGTTCTGGACTTTTGAATAAAAGTATGAAAAATGCAAAAACGTATACTGGTATCGAAATCGAGCTAGATAAAATATGAATTATCTGAAATCCAGTTGATTCTTCGAAATTGCACGTCTCGTTGAGCATTTTCAAACCTACTTTTGCTGAAAAAAAACCTGATCTTTAGACAGATGGAAATTTCAATTAATCTTTAATTTCCTATCTAATCGGTGATATTTGAACTGGTTTATAGTGTAAGCAGGAAACAATTGAACAATTGACAAAGTTGAAACTTCTAGGAAATTGGTTGTTATCGATATTTATGGGCTGTTCACAATGATCTGATGAGAATCAAGGAAACTTAAAAAGTGCAAAATCAGCTCTTCAAAAGCTTTTTATTCGGTAATCCATCAAAGGTATAATTTTTAATCCGGAATTCAACAAAATTTAGAATTTCCGAAGACATTCGGCAATGCGTTTGCTTGGCAGAGAAGGTTCTAATAAAGAACCAGAGTGTAGGCATAAGAAAAGGTGAATAAATTCGGTATGTCTCGTACAACGGTGTTTTTGTTGTCTTTATCTTGTCAGGTGTTATGTCTCTATTTTGGGTCGTTTAGAGGTTCCCTTCAAAACAATATGTATTCGTATTGTGTTCAAATTTGAATGACAACATTTTTTTCATAGTTTTCCGTAATAAATTGTTAGTTAAAAACATGGTTACGGTAGTCGCGGCATCATGTTCCTGGATTATCATAACTAGGATATATGGGAGATATGGAAGTTCTGGAAATTTGTTTTTATTTTATTTGTCCAAGTTTTTATACTTACGAGACAATCTGATCATTACAGAGATGGCTAGTAAGAACCCGAGCAAGGGGATCAAAATGCATACAATATGAACCAGAGCCTGAAATTTGGGCTGTTTATGACAAGGCGGATGGGAAAAGGGGGGGGGGCAGCCAAAAGGGGGGCCAACTTGGAAAAGTTATGCCTAATAGTAAGTTAAGATTAAACAATTTTTCCAGTTTCGAGGTTGTTTCCAAAAAAATTTCGTGATTTGAACGTTTTTTGTCATTTGTTGAGATTTTCAGCTTGTGTCATTTTTTGTAAAGTTTCTGGATGTTCTTTTACGAAAACCTTTTTTTGAAAGTTCAAATTTCCCGCCAAATTACTCACTGTTAAAACCAAACTTCGTAGAAAATTCCTATAAATTGCAGCTGTTTTATCCGATAATTGGGTTTTTATGGAGTTTAGAACTTTAATGGTTATCACTAAAGCACTAATAGCGGAATAGAAACAAAGAATGGTGGCCATCGAAGAGAATGCGTAGAAAACTAGAAATATTTTGGAATCGAAATTCATGAAAAAGCAATTGTCACACCACATGTACGGCTGGAATTTGCCGAATCTCTGGAAAATGAAAAATTCGGAAATTTTCGGAGAAATTACGAAATTTTGCCACCTGTTCCATTTTTAATTTATAATCCTTCTGATGTTTCAAATCCGGATATATAAAAATTGTGAAAATCGTTACAAAAATTATAGTAGCATGAAAAGCATATTTTGAATAATAAACCCATTTTCTCATTTACGATGGTTCCAGTCTATGAAGAATCACCGCTTCCATGCGGTAAACAAAAAGTGAAACGACTGAAATTCCAGTGAAAATTATACAAAATGGAAGGAGCTGGAACACAATTGGAGCATATTCAGCGGTAAAACTGTTTGAGCACATTATTGGAATCGGTAGAACTACAGTAACCTTCCAAATGTGACCCATGTGGATTTCTAGGAGAAGGTCGCTAAAAATGCGAACATAGATAGAATTGCAGAGAATTCAGAAATTCCGAAATTTGAAAAAATCCGAAGCCTATCAATTTAATTTGAATATTGGAAATGTCAGAATGTTCAGAATTCAAAATTTCCAGAAATTTTAACAGATAACTTACGACAGTATATGTACAACTAAATAGTTACGGTAATTTTTAAAATGGGCGGAACTTTTGAAAATTAATATCCAAAGTGCCAACATATAAATTGGAGCGGATATACAACCAGACAGAATATGTATTATGAAAAATCCAGTAGGTTCTTCAAAACTACAAGTCTCGTTAGGCATTTTCTTGTGAAAAGTTCTAGACTTTTCTGAATAATTAACTCGTGAAAGGCGGAAATTTGTTTTTTCCGCTCGTTGATCCTATTGAATGATCCAATTATTACAGAAATTAGTCTGTTTGTAGCCTGCTTACAATTTTTTCTTGGAAATATTTTTTTGATATCCTGAATTTTATGAAAAATAGAAAACGCTTGAAATTTATATCAGAAATCACGAAAAAAACAATTTTTAACCAATAATTTTCAAAACAAAAATCTCAAATTGAGCTCCTGTTAACTTCGCTTTGATTCAAACTTTCCACAGGTTTTTTCGAGAACATTCTGAATAATATTTTTCGTAGAAGATCATTGGTTAAAAACATTGTGATAGTTGATAATGCGCCATGTTCTTGGATTACCAAAACGAGAAGATATGGGAAGTATGGGAATTCTGAAAATTTGAAAATTTTACCAAGTATTGAGGAAAAACGAAATTCCTCAACTCTTAGATTCTGAAAATCCAAGATTCTGGCACTGAGTATTCGTTATTCATAAATGCTGATATTCTGAAGATTCTTAGACTCCGAGATTCCGAGATTTTCGGCATCCTCTATTTCATTTCAGAATTCTCCGATTTCAGAATTCCCGGGTTTCGGGATTTCTGGATCTCTAAGATTCTGGTGTCTTGAAGTTCTGAGATGCTAAAATTTCGAGATTCTGGGGTCTTCAGATCCTGAAACTGTGAGATTCTAAGGTTCCGAGATTCTGAGATTCGGAGATTTTCGGATTCCTGTATTTCAATTCAGAGTTCTTCGATTTCAGAATTTCAGGATTGCCAGGTTTTTGGATTTCGTTAGTTCTGGATTTTTGAATTCTGAGAAATCAAATACTTTGATTTTGTAGATTTCTTTTGAAACTTTCACTCTGTGCTTAATTTTTTGACTCACTGGATAAAGTGATGACAATACTAATTGCCCATAACAAGCCAAGTAGTGGGAGCAAAATGCAAATCCCGTGAATTATTGCCTGAAAATTAGATTTGAATAAGTAACTCAATTTTTGTTATTTCGATTAGCCTTTCATTCGAAAATATTGGGTGATTTGTCAGCTAGATTTTTGAAGTGCCGTTTCAAACGGAAATAATGAAAACTCTCTCACCATAACCACCAAACTGATGATAAAGTTTTTCTGAATCGCCGCAGTAGTGGGTGATAAAGAAGACCGAACTGATTTCAATGTTCTGATAGTCACATGAAATGCTAATCCAGCTGCAAATGATCCAAGAGAGGCTGTAATGGCTCCAAAAACATAAAATGATTTGAATCGAATTGAATCGAAATTAAAAAAGAAGCAATTGTCACACCACATATATGGTTGGAATGCACCGAAACGCTGAAAATTGGAATAGTTGTGAAATCTAAGTTTTAGCCAATTTTTCTCATTTTTTGTTCATAAAATCCAAAACATTGTGTTAGTTAAAAATTTTTGATATCTTTCACCGAAGGCAAGATAAAGTTGGTCAAAGTTGACAAGTCAATAAATAGTCAATGTTCTAGTTCATAGTTTATTAAGTGACAAGACCTGGAGGTGTTTCTATTGAATCTCTATTTCTAATCAATACTCTTCACAGAAGCTTATATCCCAAGTTTAAACAGTTGCGTTTCTATGGACTCTAGCAACTTTTAAAAACATAAACTATGGGAAAAATTGATCGGTTATTTTAAAGTTCAGAAAAAGGAATACCGTAACTTTGAGCAAATTTTTCCCATTCCCCACAATCCGAGTTAGTCAACACGGCTTCAAAAAAATCCAAATGCTTTCACCTGTTCCATTTTCAACTTGTAATCATTCTGGTACTTCAAATCTGAATAAATCAAAACTGATAAAACCAACAAAATGATGACGCTAATATAAAACCCAAATTTTGAGAAATGAGCTAACTTTCTTCTGTAATAAAATTGCTCAGCCCGATGGACAACCATTACTTCCATTCGATATACAAAAAGTAAAACGATGGAAACTCCGGTATAAACAAGACAAGAAGGTAGGAATTGGAATACAATTGGAGCATATTCAGCGGTGAAACTGTTCGAACACATGATTGGAATCGGAAGAACTACAGTAACCTTCCAAATATGGCCCATGTGGATTTCAAGAAGAAGACCGCTGAAATTGATGGTTCAGAATCTTACAGCTAGAAGTTCGGGAATTCAAGAATCAGAAAATTCAGAGAAATCAAAAACTCAGAAATTCTCAATTTCAAAAGTAAAAATTCTGAAGTTTCTGAAAGTTGAAAACTCAAATTTCAGAAAATCAAGATATCACGGAAAATAGAAAAATTGTTGAAATTATGAGATTGTGAGGTTCTGAATTTTTTACATTTCGATATCTATATATTCCAGAATTCCGAGATTTCAGGGTTATTAAATTACAATTTTCGGAGATTTCCCAACTTTTAGGATTTTGAAATTCTGAAAATATTTTTTTTTAAGTTACTCACGAAAAAATGTGAGCCACTAAATAATTTCTATACTTTTTAAAATGGGCGGGACTTTTGAAAATCAGAATCGAAAATGCCAAAATATAACTGGGAATTGATAATCCTGTGCAAACAAAATGAATGATTGTAAAACCGAATGGTTGCTCGAAATCACAAGTTTCATTTAACATTTTTGCAAAATTGAAAAAAAAATGGAATTTTTGAATTTTCAGTTTTCGAAAGTCATGACAAGATATGATATGCAGGTGGAATAAAAATATTACAAAAGAATCAAAAACCAGTAGTAAACAATATTATACAAGCTACACATTTATAGTGATGACGTAGAGAAATCGGATTCGGAGAAAATTGAATGTCATGCTACTATAGTTGATCTCCTCTGTGAACTATTCTCCATTGTCGGTAGAATTTCTTCACACCAAAACAATTTTTTCAGTGCTTTTCGCAGTAAATTATTTGTTAAAAACATAATTACAGTAGAGGCAGCACCATGTTCCTGGATAACGAGAGCCAGGAGAAATGGAAAGTAGCGGAATTCTGAAAACATTTACTATTGTTAATTTCAGTCTCGTTAATTTCGGTTCCTGTAAGAAATATCGAAAAATGATTAACTGATAAAATGTTTATTATAATACTGTAAGTGTTTTGTTAGTTGAACGCTTTTTGATATCTTTTACAGGAGGCGAGATAATTGTGTTTTAAATTTAACATACCGCTCAGACTGATAAGAACATTGATAGCTGATAAAAACCCGGCCAGTGGAATGATGATACAAAGAACATGAACCGCGGCCTGAAAAGTTAAAAATTGAAAAAAAAGTAAAAAAAATGGTTTCCTCTGTTACAGGTTTAATTACAGGATTTTTTACGGTATGTGAATACCTTGAGAATTGGAAATATTACAAAATTTAAAATCCCAATGATTAAATTAAAGAGCTATATAGAATCTTTAAAAATTTGAAAATATGGAAAAATTCGGGGGAAAATATTGAAGATCTAAAGTTATGTATAACTTTATAGTTCCAAAAAAAATCAATTTTTGAGAAATATCTTTAAAACTAACCGCAAGAGTCAAGCTCAACAAATAATTTCGATGTGTTGCCCGTGTTTTAGCTGTCAATCTGGAGCTCACCGATTTCAGAGCTCTCAAAGTCACATAAAATGCGATTCCTCCTGTCAGACCGCCAAGTATAACTGCACAACCTGCCACATAGAAAAATGCGAAAAAAATTTTAGAATCAAAATTACAGAAAAAGCAGTTGTCACACCACATGTATGGTTTGAATGCACCAAATCGCTGAAGAAGGGGAAAATTAGAGTATAAATAGACTGGTACTGTAATCTCACCGCTTCCATTTTCATTTTATACGGCTTCTGATTTTTCAGGTCCGGATATATTAAAATAGTAAAAATCAGCACAAAAACTATGCTGACGTAGAACGCATATTTTGTAATTTTCACAAACTTCCTGACCAACGATTGCTCAGATCTGTGAACGATTACAGCTTCCATACGATATACGAAAAGTGAAATTGCAGATGTTCCGGTATAAGCGAAACAGGCTGGAAGTAGCTGGAAGACATTTGGAGCATATTCGGATGCAAAAGTGTTGGAGCACATTATTGGAACTGGTAGGACTACGGTAACCTTCCAAAGGACACCCATGACAAAGTCGAGAAGGAATCCGCTGAAAAGGTGGTCTGGTTTTTTTTTCAACTCAAAAAAATTTGAAATACTGAAAATGCGTTTTTTCGTTTCTGAGAAAATGCTATAAAAACGCCCAAAACTATGGGGAATTCGAAAAACTCCTCAAAATCATAAAAAATCGAAAGCTTACGAAAAAATATGCGCTGCTAAATAGTTCCGATATTTTTGAAAATGTTTGGGTGTTTTGAAAATTAATACAAAAAATGCGATTCCATAAATTATCACAGAAATCGATAATGCAATGTAATGAATAATCATAAAATCGAACGGCTCATCGAAATAACAAGTTTCATTCAGCATTTTTAATACTTGAGCAATCTGAAATTCTGAGAAACGAACCTGAAAATCGGAAAATCAAATTTGCGGCCCGCTTTGGACAACCATGACAGAACCAGGTGAAAAGAATGTGCTCTCATTCATCAAAAATCAAAGAGTGGTCAATTTTTATTTTCCAGTAATTTTTTGCATCAAAAAATTATTAAAAGTTCAATTCATAGTAGTGCTTTGGAGATTTTGAATCTGTGATTCACTGGACGCTGGAAACTTCCAGAAAATTCTCAAAAATGTCTGTCTTAACAAATTATTAGTCATAAACATTGTCACAGTCGAGGCGGCACCATGTTCCTGAATGATCAGGGTCAGGATGTATGGGAAATATGGAAATTCTGAAAAAAAAACTTGTCTGGAAATTTCAAAGTTTCAGGTTTACGCGATAAGCTGATAACTAGAGTGATAGCCCATAAAAAGCCAATAAGAGGGACTAGAATACAGATTCCGTGAATTAAAGCCTAAAATTATTTTTTTTAATGAATTTGAAATATAAAAAGTTTGTTCATTTACAGAAATCACCAGGCTGATTAAAAAATTTCTGTGCATTTTTTTGGTTTTTCCTGATAATTGTGATTTCACAGAATTGATTGAGTATACAGTCAAGAAAAATGCGAGGGCTCCAGATGAGGTTCCAAGGACGACGGCAATTGCGCAAATGTTGAAAAAATAGCGGAATAAAGTTGAATCAAAATTAAAGAAGAAACAATTGTCACACCACATGTATGATTGGAATTGACCGAATCTCTGGAAAATGGAAAAATAGAGAACTAAAAAATTGAACATATCTCGGCTCCAAATACTTGCACAAGTCTCTGAGCACTTTATTCATGTATTAGTTAAGACTTGTGGAAGAATTGTGCAAGACTTGTGGTAGGCTTGTCCTACACTTGTGGGATCCTTGGCCAAGTTTTGTGACGTTACAATATCAACAGAAGCGACAGCAATCAAAACTTGGCCAAGGCTCCCACAATTCTTAACTAATGCGTAGAATAAAGTGCTCAGAGACTTGCGTAAGTATTGGCGCCGACAGCCGAGATTTTCGACATTGGTTTTTGTGGAATCTGGATAACTTTGGAAACAAAGAATTTGCTGAATAATATTTTGTTTATTTTGAAAATCTTGAAAGTTCTTAAAAATTGAAAAATGGAACTCTGGGAAATCAAAAGATGGAACTGAAGAAAGAAAAAAACAAATATTCTCACCTGTTCCATTTTCGTTTTGTACTCTTTCTGATATTTCAAATCCGGATATATCAAAGCTGTGATAACCAACACCACCACTATACTAACAAAAAATCCATATCTGATAAGATAAACCAATCTTTGAAGAATCGATTTTTCGAATCTATGCACATTCACAGCTTCCATTCTGAATACGAACAAGGAAATTATAGAAGTTCCCGTATAAACTAGGCATAATGGTAGGAATTGAAAAACAATCGGAGCATATTCAGCGATAAAATTATTGGAGCACATTATTGGAATTGGTAGAACTATAGTAACCTTCCAAATCATGCCCATATGGATTTCCAGGAGAAGACCTCTGAAAAAACTCAAAAATTCTGAAACTCAGAAAAAGAAGTTTGAAGGCTCACGAAAAAATATGGGACACCAGAAAATTTCGATAACTTTTAAAATGTGTCGGACTTCTGAAAATTAGAATCCAAAACGCTACTCCGTACATTGGAATAGAGATGCTTGTGGATACATAGTGTATTATTGTATTGGCAAATGGTTCTTCAAAATTACATGTCTCGTTGAGCATTTTTTTTTGTATTAGAGATTTTTATACAACAGGAAATGTAAAATCACATAGAATCTGACGTTAGAAGTACTTGAGTGTTTTTTAACAGTTGAAAAGATGAACACGAAGTTGATTAGTTAATCATGAAAGTCAAGTGATTTCATGAAACAAATAAACTAGAAAAAAAAAGAAAACTGGGGTGCTAAGAAAAATAAATTGACTGATTTTTGATCATTGATATAATTCTTATTAGATTTGGGATAGACGTATTATTCTGAATGCAAAGTATAAATATATTACCAAGTGTAAAAAATATAAGTTGTGGAAAAAATATTAGAAAATGAATCATAAAGTTGGAAGTTTCGAAGTTGGGGAGTTCAGAAATTCAGAAACTTCAAAAATTTTTCTACTTTGAATGACTTAATCATCACATTAAATAATATTTTGAAAAATAGTTTTTGAAAAAAAATCACTCTCTGATAATCACGTATTTCAACACCCACTTCCTTTTTGTGTAGACGATGATGTCTGTAATTTTGAGCCCACAAAATAATCTAGGTCTCAATTAATAAAAAAGAATAAAGAAAAAAATCTAGACAAAATATTTGTTCTCTCGTTTCGAAAAAAAACTTGGTATATTTTCATAAAACTATGGCAATTGATACACTGTTTCCCAGTATTTCGAAGCCGGAATGTTTTAATTTTTTATATTTTGACATTTTAAGGTAAGAGCCAGAAGGTTTAGCCCCGAAGGCACATAAGCAGACTGTCACTCCAGTTTATGAAAGTTGACAACACAATCAACTAAAACTTCCTCTTCTGATTCTCTCCGATTTGGAGATTCAAACGTTTTTAGTGAAGCCAGGAGATTGTAGCCGCCGACAGGCGGCGGAAATCGACTGGTGTTCATCATTTTCAGATTTTTCGGATTTTTTCTACATTTTTTTTAAATTTATAAATTAAATGACGTGATTTCTGATATAAAAAATAATTCTTCAAAACCGATACATCACTTTTTTCTCTCAAAAATTACACATCTCCTCAGAGAATCCTTTCGTCTCTAAATTACTCATAACACCTGATTTTCTTTTTTATTTTCACTTGTCAAAAAAACAAAGTTTTTCTTCTAGACAGTGATATTTTTGATAATACCTGAAATTTGTCAGTTTCCTCGTATTTTGATTCGTCTGAAAATTTCCAGTCAAATTCAAAAATGAAAATTTCCACCATTGAACAGGCGGCTATAATTTTTCCAAGTTTCCAAAATTTGGATTTTTTATTCGAACTTTTTGTGTTCCTCGAGTAGGTGTTGTGTGAAATTTTCAAAAAATATTTTTTTCAATTTCAGAGAGCACATAACGAAATTTATCGATATCGAATTTTACATTGCATTTTTTGGGATTTTTCTAACAATATTCCATGTTTTCATTTTGACGAGAAAAAGTGTAATGATGTCTTCCATTAGTTCTATAATGATTGGAATCGGAATTTGTGATATTATATCAATGGTATTGGCGATAAGTGTGAGGCATATGATTTATAATTTTAAAAGAGACGAATGGTGGGACATTACTAAATTTTTAGTAGGATTTAAAGAATGGTTTCATGAGCTATAGTTTTTTCAGAGTTTTTTTTTCAAAAAAACTGTTTCCAAAATTTCCAGCACACCGCCGCTCACATTATTCACCTACCGCTTATTCTGGGTCCTAATGCATTCTCGAGATGCAGCGATTCGATGTTCCACGTGGCTCGGAGTATTAATGGCTCTAATTCGTTTCCTGGCTCTACGCTTCGTGTCGAGACCCAGTTTTCAAAAAATCTCTCAAATTTCATTTGGATTTCATGCAACTGCAACATGTTTTGTTGTTAGTTCTATCATGTCATTTGTCAACTCTATGAGAACCAAAATCATAGAAATTGGAGTATGGAAACCAGGGGAAAGGTAAAAATGAATCTATCGTATTTTTGAAAAACCTTGAAATTTCAGCTGCCTCCAGAAGCCTCTGGAAACTTTTATGCTCCATGAGCTCCGAGTTTCCGACGCGTTTTCTGCCAATAATGGGATTATACTGAGAATTGTCACGTTTGTGAATGGAATATCGTCGAGGGTATTTATCTCAATTTTACAAAAAATATATTTTTCAAAAAATTTCAGATTTTTCCATGTATAATTCTACCAATTCTCACTATTTTGTTAATTTTGGAGATTAGAAGAACGCGAGTGAAAATGACCAGTTTTTCGAGCTTCAGCGTCAGAAAACGGTTTGTTTTTTTTCTCAATTTTCAGCTAAAAATTATAAATATACGTCTGAAAACATTAATCTTCAGCACTGAACGAACTACTGGACTTGTTATTCTAATGGCTGTTACATTTTTTGTTGCATCACTTCCGGCTGGAATTTTCACATTATTTCAGGTTATATATACGGATATTGGATTTGTGTAAGTTTAAAACGCGGGATTTTTAATGTCAACAGGAGATATTCTGAAATATTGAAATAAAAAAAATTCTAAGACTTTGATTCTCATAAGGGAATGTTGTTCAGAGAGCTCTTCAGAATTTCCAAAGAATTGTATCATTCATACTATGGGCTTTTCCGTAATAAAAGTGGGTACTGCAAAAACTCACTGAAACTCGAGAAAAATTAATCTGAAAATGTGAGATTCAAGCGATTCTTTGAGTTTAGGTTTCTTGGTTCTTGTAAAAGAAATCAAAACGTATTTCAAAGAAAAAGGGTTGTCTTGATATCAGAAACATTTCATTAGTTGACAATTTTTTGATAAATCCAACAGGAAACTAGATAATTAGGGTCAAAGAGAGGATCTGTTCAAGGAGATTTCAAGAGTGGAATTACATGAGTTATTTAAACGTAATGAAACTTTTAAACTGTAGAATTATCAAAACCACTTGATATGGTTAGAAGCCTATGACCCCTAGGTGTCCCATTGACCTCATGAAAAAAAACTATAAAGGAAGAAGAAAGTGAGAGGAAGTATCAGTTCTCCCTTTCTCGGGGCTCCCGAGAGGGGAGCCGGAAAAAGCTTCCGGTCTTCCGGGCTTCCGGTCTTCCGGGCTTCCGGTCTACCGGGCTTCCGGTCTTCCGGGCTTCCGGTCTTCCGGGCTTCCGGTCTTCCGGGCTTCCGGTCTTCCGGGCTTCCGGTCTTCCGGTCTTCCGGGCTTCCGGTCTTCCGGGCTTCCGGTCTTCCGGGCTTCCGGTCTTCCGGGCTTCCGGTCTTCCGGTCTTCCGGGCTTCCGGTCTTCCGGGCTTCCGGTCTTCCGGGCTTCCGGTCTTCCGGGCTTCCGGTCTTCCGGGCTTCCGGTCTTCCGGTCTTCCGGTCTTCCGGGCTTCCGGTCTTCCGGTCTTCCGGTCTTCCGGTCTTCCGGTCTTCCGGGCTTCCGGTCTTCCGGTCTTCCGGTCTTCCGGGCTTCCGGTCTTCCGGGCTTCCGGGCTTCCGGGCTTCCGGGCTTCCGGGTTTCCGGGCTTCCGGGCTTCCGGGCTTTTGAAGGACTAAGCGTCTGGGCTAAGCGCCTGGGCTAAGCGTCTGGGCTAAGCGCCTGGGCTAAGCGTCTGGGCTAAGCGTCTGGGCTAAGCGTCTCGGCTAAGCGCCTGGGCCGTGGGTTCTGAGATTCAGTTCCATAAACGCGCCAATTTAGACAAAATTCTGAAGACATTCAACCGACATTTTCTTGTCAAAAGTTTGTGATCGTGGTACTTTGGATATAAGAAAATTCAAGTATCCCGAGAATCTCAAAAGTTTGAATAAGTCTGAAAATTCTAAAAATGGAAAGCTCAATTTTCAGACATCTCTCAACATTTGTGGACCATTTCTGTAATGCTATTCTGACTTTAAACGCGTCTATGCACTGTTTGATTTGTTTCACAATGTCCTCAGATTATCGAAAACGGGTTTTGAACATTCTGAGAATCAGGAAAAAGGAAATGAGTACTGTGAATTCTGTGTTCTCATTTTTTTTCGATTTTTAGAGAAACACATTTTTGAGATGTTTTGTAACTTGTTGTCCAATAAAAGTATTTGAACAGTTATATTTTAGAATCTTATTTTCAATCAAATGTTGCTTTGTATTTTTGACTGAAAATACGTTTCAGCAAAAAGAGAATGTGTTAAAAATATTTTTTTTCTATCCATAATATTTAACTGCCAAATCTTCCATTTCTCTCCTCAGGTCTCACCCAAAATGTGCAATAAAAGAAGAACAGTTGAAGACACTTTTATGACCTCGAGAGCCCATCCCACCCATCTTTTATTGTTATTAAAGGTCACAAAATTGGCCCACCTGTTTTTGGGAAAATCAATCATTTCTCCTTTATAGTTTACTGGGTCAGTCAGTTTCTCAGTTCTCATATTTTCGGACGTGCGTATTTTTGGATTTCCGTATCGTTTGATTCTTTGGATTCTTGAAATTCTCAAGGTAATTGTTAAAGCTTTTTTACTACATTCTTGAAAACTTTTAGATCGATTTTCTGAGATACTGAACATTTTTAAAGGTTCGAAAACTTTAAAAGATGTTGCAAACTCTGAAACAATGGTGTAAAATTTTATCGGATGCCTAAATTCTTGAATTCAATATCTTCCTATCTCTCGAAATTTCTGGGCTTCCAGATTTTTCGAATTTTTCCAGAATGATGATTCATTTTTATTACACTCTCACACCAAATGTTCCGTTTGACCCTCGTCTTCTCCTCATACTATCAATTTCTCTATCCCTTTCGGTTTTTTTTTCGCTTTCTCAGGCTTTTTTCTTTTTGACATTCTTTCATTTTTCATTGGTTCGAGAAATTAAAAAAGATTTCGAAAGTTTAACTAGACTAATTAGGAATTTTGAGAGATTAATTGGAGGAAATATATAACAGAACGAACAATTTTGTCCGAAAAGATCACCCAAAAATAAAGCTTGCTAAAAATCAAAACTTCTCTAATTCTCTTTTCTCTCAAATATTATGTTTTTCTACGTACAAGAACCTAGTTATGACCTCGGATTCGAAATGTTTTTTGCACTGTTTTCTGAGTCTCCTATCTTTTTTCTCTGCGTCTCTGCGTATGTTCCTTGGCTCCCACTTACTATTCGGTCAAGTGGTATAGTTTGAAATTTGAATAATTGTGTATAATTAGACAATTTTTTCTGAATTCTCTTTATCAAATCGTGTGATTTTAAATTTTATAATAATTTTTTTAGATTATGTCCAGTTTTTTGGCGTATCCTGTCGAGAATGCTCATTCTGGATCAAAAATTGAAGCTGGGCAATCGAATTCGCAGATTTTGGACCCAATGGACTTCAGCGACACCAATTTCAGTCCCAGAGAACAGTATCTTATCGGTAAGTTGAAAAATGTTTGAAATTAATATTTCGAAAATTGAGAAAATTTGGTAAGTTATGGAAATTTTCAAACTTCCTTAATCAAAAATCGAATTTTTTAAAATTTTGAATAAGTATGAAAATTAGTTATGAATTTTCTGCTTTTTCGAATAAAAACACTTAAAATAGGAATTTTTCAGATACTGCACTAGCCGAGAGGGAAAAATGTGAAGGTTTGGAGAAAAAAGTTGAAGAGCAGCAAGGTAATTTTTTTTGCAAAAAAAATCTGAAATTTCGTGAACATCTAATAATTACAGAATACATCAAATTTCTGCAAGAAAAGGCTGAGGAATTGAAGAAAAAGGAAATGAAGACAAAAAATGAAATGGTCAAATACAGAGATCAAGGAAATGTGGCTCGAAACATTGCTAAAGAAGCCAAAAAGAGGGTTTTCGAGTTGGAGAAAGAAGCCGAGGACCGATTTAACCAACAGAATGGAAAATGTGAGTTTTTTAAAGTTTCGAATTTTTAAAAATTACGGAAGTTTTATACTTTCAATTTCCTAGTTTTTGAATTTCCTTATTTAATAGACTTTCGGATAGTTCCTGATGTTCCAATTGTTAAGTTTTGAAGCTTTCAATAACCTCAGTTTTTTTCGGATCTCTGTATTTTTGATTCCACAAATTGCTTAAATGTTTACGATCCTGACTTCCAAGGTTTCCTTATTTTCCGGGTTTTCTCAAATATCTAAGCTTTCAAACGTTTTCAGTCATGGTGTTTGACCACATTGGACGCATGGATGCTTATTTGGAGAGAATCAATGAGAAAATTAAAAAAGTCCAATTGGAAAATGAGTATGTAATGAATGTTATCCGTGTTATGTCAAGCTGTAACGAACAAACAGAGCAATGGAATCTGTATCAAGGCAGAATGATTGAAGATCTTCAGGAAGAACTCCAAAAGAAGGAAGAGGAATTGAAAAAAGCAACATTAAGAATTACAGAAATTCAAAATCAAAAGTACAGTATTAAATGCGTTTATTTGGTATACACTTTGGTTTTTTTCATGTTCATAAGGGTTGCTTTGAATTTTGCTTTCTAAAGTTCTATCACTACTTCTGCGGGTATTTGCTGAAATTCTAAAAAAAGACTGAAATTACCAAAAAAAAAATGTTGAAACAAATAAGAAGTTGTCTGCAATAACCGACTAGACGAACTACACTGCACAAACGTTTTCTAGAGGGTGGGCTTCTATGTTTTTAAGCACGTTGCAGGGTGGGCTTCTATTAAAGGTAGATTTCAAATAGAGGTGGGCTTCTATTAGAGGAAATACGGTAAATAAAAATTGCTTTTTTTTTGGGAAGATTTTTCTGTTTCCTGAAATTCGTCTTCCAAAATGCATTTCTTCTGTGTCCTGAGCTCTTCCGAATTAATGAAGGCTCTTCTCCTTTTCTTTTTCGTCTCTTCAATTTTTCCTTTTTTTTTTCTCTAGAAAATTTTTGCTCCTTCGCATGCATTTCTCCGTTTTGCTTCTTTTTTCTACTTCCCATTTTTTCTAAATCAATAGTTTTTCTCCAAATCGATACTTTTTTAGACGCTGAAATTACTCATATCACTCTGGAAAAACAAAAAGTTGCGCACGAAAGATGTCAGTCGGAGCAAAAACTGAAGCAATTGGAAATGAAAATCAAAAACGCTAAAAAAATTGCCAAAAAAGAAATGAAGAAGAACAAAAAGGCGCAAATCAGAAATGCCAAACTTGACGAACAATTGGAATTGCGGGATTTGGAAATTCAGAAACTTCAAGATGATATGATTCAGAGACTCAATAACACGAATGAGATTCTCAATCAACAGAATGAGATTCAACAGGAAATGGCAAATGATTGCGAATCAAATTTTTATTTTATCATCAAAATTGTATTCTTAATTCCAATTATCGCATTTTTTGTCATGGATTCCAAAAAGTGGGATTTTGCCTCCTGGGCCCGTTCGTTTTTCAAACTTGAATAGTTTTTTTGAGAATCATTTCTTTCTAGTGTTTTTGTAAAAAATTTTCTCAGATTTTCGATTTTCAAAATTATTTCTTCATTGTAAACGTTTTTTTTAAATTCAATTGATTTGATGCAATACGATGTTCCGGCAAGATTCCTTCCCGTAGATTTTTTGAATGTTTTAAAGGTGGGGGGACATGAGAAAAATAATGTTGTCGAAATTTCGTTTAAATATGCTCCTCGAGGAGTTGAACTTGTCGAGGCGAGTGTTGAAGGTGCGGCGCCGCTACCGACTGAGCTACGCGTGCAAAGAGAAAGCCGCTGCCCGATTGCATACATAAAGGCGAGGGCGACAGCTGTACGCAGAATGACATTAAGCGTTGTACACCGTCACGGTAGAATGCATACCCTAACTCCAAAAAACCTCCGAAAAATCTCCTGTCCCCCCACCTTTAAAGGAGTTTGAAAAATAAACTTATTGAGGATTATACGTTTTTTTTGTTTGTTTGCAGAGTTCTTGATTTTTTGTTCTAATGGGAATTCTTTTATTTCGTTGCCTAGAGAAAATTTGGCTCTAAATAAATAGAAAGAAAGCCAAAAGGTTTTTGAACCAAAAAGCGAAAACTTAAGTAAACAGAAACTCGAAGAATAAAGATGGGAAAAAAGTTGCGATGTTCCCTTTTTCTTGAAGAAATTTCTTTTTCTGGGTTTTTCAGAAATTAGTTGTAGACGTTGCTGCTTTTTAAATTCTGAATGAAAATTCTAATTGAAAAAATTCAAACTATAAAAGTTTTCATCTTCAAATGTTTACAGACGAAATTTGAGGAATTAGAGATAATGTTCCCAGTTTTCCTTTGAATCCTTTTATGTAAATTTTTTATATAAACAATTAAAGGTTTTTCTTTGAGCATTGAACAATTCTTGAGCATTTTTTTCAACCAAAATTTAATAATCTTTTTTTCTCTGAGTCTTCTATCCTCTTTAGAACAGATGGCTCCCAGAACCCCCTGCTAGTGCCATTGACCGCCCTTCATCCTTCTTTTTCTTCTTTTTTTTCTCCGCACAGCTGCACATATTCGCGTTCTCTTCGCCCTTTTCGTCCTGGAGGACGGGCGCCGCTCTTTTTTCTCCTCTTCCAATTTTTTATGTCTTCCTCTTCTTCTCCTTTTTGCAGTTTTATTTTGCAAGAAAGACTATAAAACACTGCTCTTCTTCAAAAAGGACTAAAATTCAATGGATTCCAATTCATTGAACAACAATTATTTTTTGATTAAAAATGTCAATCATAACTTACAATTAAATTTTGGTTTATAGTAACCGCAGCATCTAACGTTATCAGTGATTTTTTTCGGATTGTCATTTGGTTTATCAGTTACTATTAGATAGTTCTTTTTGAAAATTTGGAACTATACAGTTTTTTAATTTCGAAATTCAGGAATTTTGAATTCTGAAATCTTTGATTTCTTGGATTTTCTTTAAATTTCTTTATCTTTTTGAATTCTCAGGCTTTTTGTAATAGTTGGGTTCCTGGCTTTGTAGATTTTTAGAGATTCTGAGATTCTGCGGTTCTGAGAGTCTGAGATTCTGAGATTCTGAGATTTTGAGGTTCCGAGATTCTGAGATTCTGAGATTCTGAGATTTTGAGGTTCCGAGATTCTGAGATTCTGAGGTTCTGAGATTCTGAGATTCTGAGATTTTGAGGTTCCGAGATCCTGAGATTCTGAGATTTTGAGGTTCCGAGATTCTGAGATTCTGAGATTCTGAGATTCTGAGATTCATGCCAATTTTTTTGACAATCTTTTTCTTTCAGGTAATCGTGTTTGTCTCAAAATGTCTAAGTTATGGGAAAAACTTCAAAATTCATTTGAATCGAACAACCAGGTTTCAATCGGTGAGAAACGTTTTAAAAAAATTAAAATACAACATTGAAACAATTTCAGATGAGTTTTCGGAAGATTATATTGAAGAATTTCCGATCCTAGACTCTCCAGAAACTCCGGATTCGATCCATCCACCAGGATTGGAACTTATTGGTAAATTGAAATGAGATTTGGAAAACTTTAATTTTTGATTTTTTTTTTCAGAAAATATGAAAATCATAAAAGATGTTCTCAATTCTGACAAAGCCGAAAAAAATTTGGCTTATAAAGCTTTGAGGAGGTTCAGCAACGCTAATGATAGATGCCAAGCATCAGAAGGTGAATTTCTAAAAGAAAAATTTGAAATTCCAAAAATCTCAAAAAATTCGTTTTCAGAAGAGAACAAAAGGTTGAGGAATATTATCAGTTCCTTGGTTCTGGAACTGAGAAAAACCAGAGTGGAAAATGCAAATTTGAATAGAATGAGATTATCGAAGTCCCATGATGCCGAATTATGGAAAACGCAAGCAGACTCCTGGAGAACGGAAGCAAAAAATCTTCACGAAATCATGACGAATAGAATAATGAAAAAAGACCAGAAGATTCGAAGTCTGAAATTTCAGCTGAAAGGAAGATGTCGGTTTTTGAAATATGTATTATTTAGATTCTTAAGAATTCTTAGATTCTTAGGTTTTGAGATTCTGAGATCTTTAGATGCTTAGACTTTTATTTTCTTAGAATCTCAGATTCTTAGATTCCTGAAAATTTCAATTTAAAAAAATTTAAAAAAAATGAAAAAAATTTAAAAAAAAGGAAAAAAATGTGAAAACTTCAAAATGCCACTATTTCAGATTCCAGGAAGGATCAAGGATCTCAAATCGAGCTCGAAATGGTCCGTTTTCCTGATCGCAGTGTACCAGAAACTGAAGAAACTGAGAATTCTAATTTCGATTATTCTGGAGAAGTTCTCGAACCCGTTTTGGAAAGTGAAGACTCCGAGATTAATGAGATGAATGTTCAAAGAATGGGAAATTCGCCAGAATTCGAAATTCCGGCTGGCTTTATCGACGACCCGGAGAGATTTCCAGAATCGGAGACTTTGGAAAAGCTTGCTAATTTGGTGCCAAAAATTGAAAATTCGAACACTTGGAAAACAATTGGTAAATCTAAATTTTTTTTCGGTACAGCATCCGATCTCTTTAAATGTTTCAGAGAATGGAAGAATCGTCCAAGCCAAGGATACCATTTTCGAAAAGGCGAAAAAATCGAGAGCGCCAAAAAAGAGAACGTCCAAAGCTCCAATAGTGGAAGCTGCTCCACTCATCGAAGAATCGGAATCGGAATCTGAAGATTCTCTTGAAGTTTTTGAATTGTCCAAAATTCCAAAAACTGCTAAGAACGCCAGGAAAGCCGCGAAGAAGTTGGCAAGACTCGAGAGGATTCAATTGAAAGAGGCGAAAGTTCCAGAAGTCCAAGAAGCACCGGCCGGCAAAAGTTATTGGAGAAATTTTATTATTTTTGTGGTCATCATTATTTGTGCCGGGTTTTCTGCTCTTGTTTCAAAAATAGTTTTATAACATTGAGATTTCATACTTTGTGTATCCTACGTTGTATAGTATTCTACAAATCAGCTGATTCTTTTTTCATGTTTCTATCAAATAGTTTTCGATCCTTGGGACCTTATTTTTCGCTGTTTAACAGCTGCCACTTCTTTGAAACTTTCGTATCTTTTTTAATTCAATCCCACTATCAGAGTTTTTTTCTGAGAACAGTTGTTCTTTTTATCTGTCTCCTCCCGATTTCTTCACTTCTCACAAATAAAAATCATCGAAACACTCGATTTCTTTGTTTGACAAACATGTCAAAGTCTGAAGAACCGTCTGAGCTAGTAGTTCGAAGCCGGAGCGATTATGAGCTATCAATTCTGAAAGTGCGACTGGAAAATACGGATCTTTCAGCAGAAATTTCGAGACTATCAGGTGAGATTTTTAGGAATGAGATTCTTCAAAATTAGGAAAATTTCATAGATTTCTGAGTTCCTGGATTCCCGAATTTTTGGATATCAAAATTCCTGGGTTATTGGTTTCATTGATTCCTGGATTCCAGCATTCCTGGATTCTCGGATTCCTGGATTCCTGGATTTCTGGGTTTTTGGTTTCCTTTATTTCTGGGTTAGTGGTCTTATGGATTCCTAAATTCTTGGATTCTCGAAATCCTGTATTTTTGGATTCCTAAATTCCTGCATTCTCCGGTTACTGGTTTCCGTGATTCTTGGGAAATGTCTACAAGATTCTGAAACTTTCAGATTTTTAGATTTTCGGATTCTGAACTTTTTTTAGAAGTTTTGAAATTCTAGGAGAGTTTGGATTTAAGAGGTTTTGTGATTCTAATATTCATCTCAATTTTTCAGGGCAACTCGAAGTGATGAAGAATCTTGTCAATACAAAAAACCAGGAAATTCGAAAACTGCGACGAGAAATTGAGAAATCTCAAATGATCCAATGCATGGATCTTTTGAGAATCGAGTATTGGCAAGAGCCGACACCGCTGACAAATATTTCAAGTTATTGTGGAGCACAATTTCAAGGTACAGGTTGAACATCAACGGTGATTAATTGAAGTTTTTTGTAAAGAAAATTCAAAAATGCTTTCAGTTTGGCGAAACCAGAAGATATTGACTAGCCCGATTGGACCAACAACATTTGTCAAATGTTTGGAGTTTTCATTGTTTTTATCATTTTTCTAGCCACTATTTTTAGATGACTAAGTAGCTGAATTGTTTTAGTTGATTTCACATATTCAGTAAATATAAATTTCTAGGTTCCAAACCAAAATGTTATAGGTTTTTGTTAATTTTTTATTTCAAAATTTTCAAAATTTTATCCTTGATCATAAATCAATTTTATAGGAAACTATTGGTCTATGTTATTTAGCTCTCTTCAAGTTTTTCTATTAAAGGTGGGGGGACATGAAAAAATTAATGTTCTCGAAATTCCGTTCAAAGATGCCCCTCGAGGAGTTGAACTTGTGAGGGCGAAGAAGAGGGTGCGGCGCCGCTACCGACTGAGCCACGCGGGTAAAGAGAAAGCGCACGCCCGATTGCATACATAAAGGCGAGGACGATAGCTGTACGCAGAGTGACATTAAGCGTTGTACACCGTGACGGTAGAATGCATACTCTAGCTACAAAAAAAAACTACGAAAAATCTCCTGTCCCCCCACCTTTAAGAGCAGCTGTCACTTTTCTGGGAGAATGAGAAAAAAAGAGGAACGAAAAAAAAAACATTGGTATGTGTGTCAGAAAATTGTTGCCGGGAGTTCAATTATTTGTTTCTTGACGCAGCTGTTACACTTTGAAAAATTCCTGGAAGTTCGGAATTTTTAGAACTTCCGGAAAATTTCTGAATATGTAGATTTTTGATATTCTGAAATTCTGGATTTCCAGATGTATCTGAAATCCTGAACTTTGGAGTTATCAAAAACATTTATTTGAAAACTTGAAGTTTTTTAATTCCTCATGATATTGCACATTACCCGAACTTCATTGAGATATGAATTTTCAAGTTTTAAAATTTTGATTTTCTAACTTTTTCGAATATTTAGAAAGTATTCTGGACCGAAATTATGGGAGATTCAAAAAATTGAGCATTACAATTTCGAGAATGAGCCAGAATGAATTGGTCGAACGGTTGGATGCAAAATTTTGGAAAAATAAGGCGGAGATAAGACAAGTTTATATTGAAAAACTGAAAAAATGACATCGAGGAGTTGGAGATAGAAGTCTTGTTTGCTTGTGGTTCCTGGATTCCTGGATTCCTGGATTCCTGGATTTTTGGATTCCTGGATTCCTTAATTCCTGGATTCCTGGATTCCTGAATTCCTGGATTCCTGGATTCCTGAATTCCTGGATTCCTGGATTCCTTAATTCCTGGATTCCTGGATTCCTGAATTGAAATTCGACATATGATGCTTATGTCAAAAATACTCTGGTCGAGTTAATCGGAAAGTTCATAATTTTCAATAAAAACAGCTGAAGTTTTCGAAACAGCTGAAGTTTAACGGTTTACGCCTTTTCAGCTATTTTCTACTTCCTTAGACACATTTTATCAAAATGTGTCTATGGAGAAACTCACCATATGAATTGGACTCATTTGCACCATCTATTTTACATAAATTAGCAATTATTGAGTTACCAGTACATTTATTAGCTGCATATGTTATAATTTTCAAGACTCCGCCCACAATGAAATCGGTGAAAGGAATGATGTTGCTTATGCATTTGTGGTAGGTCTCAATAATTTTCCATTTCAAATTTTTACCAATTTTCAGTGGTGCCTATCTGGATCTCTTCATCAGTGCCCTTTCCAATCAATATTTCGTGTTCCCAGCTGCTGCTGGATATACACAAGGCCTTTACACTTATCTTGGAGTTCCCATAAGATGGCAAGGTTATATGTACGTAAATGGCCTCTGTCTAACTGGAGTTTCGATTCTGGGATTTTTCGAAAATCGATTCACCGCTGTGGTTCGTGGTAAAAAAGCTAGTTTATTACATGAAAAATGGAGATTATTTTATATAGTTGGAAATTATGTTTTCGCTGTCGTTTTTATTTTTCCAATCACTTTTACAGCACCGGAACAGACTTATGGAAAGGCGTACGTTAGAGAGGTAAGAACTCATTTTTTAACTTTAATATTGTTCTTTCTAAAACTCCAGATCCTTCCATGTGTCCCTAACGAAATCATAGAACACCCTCAATTTTTTGTATACGCTATAGATGTAACATTGCTCACCTGTATAATTTCATTCGCATCTATTGTAATTACTTTACAGTGCATTTATTTTTTCTCCAGAACCCTTATTTATTTGTCAAGTCGAAAAGCGAAATCTCAGAGGACTTATAATCTGCAATTACAGTTTTTTATTGCGCTTTCTATTCAAATTATAATTCCGATTTGTGCAATTATTGGACCAGTCGGTTATATTGCTTTTGCATGCGCTACGTCGTACTTTGATCAAGGTACCGTATTTACTTGGATATCAATTATCTCAGTTCCTAAAATGTCTAGAATTTTCTTTTTTTTCTGAAATTTCAATTCCAAATATTTCAGCCCTCAACAATATTTTCGTCAATGTTATCGCATTCCATGGACTCATATCTAGTGTTGTAATGCTAGGAGTACATAAACCATATCGACAAGCTGTCTTTGGAATGGTCAAGTGTGCATATTTGGAAAAAAAGTTTATGGGAAGCTCCGCCCATGTGGAGGGTACCACAGCAGTGGTATTGAGCAGTAAACGACCATCAATTCACCCTCCAGTTTATATTGGTCCAGGCCATAATTATCTTCCTGTTGACTAAGAAAAATAAACTATTATTATTTTAACAAAATCTGATATTCAGATTTTTTGAATAATCAAAGATGTTATGATATTCTTTCAAGTTAAAGATGAAAAGTGAAGTTCGATTCAGGGCTATTTTGAAACTACGTATGTAATGAGAAAGTTCAAAATTTTCATTTAAAACAGGTGAAATTTTCGATTGCGTGTCAAGAATTTACCGCTTTCTCATAGTCAGCTATTTTTGTTTCCATTCAAACACTTCTTTCAATGTGTGTCTGGAGAAACTCCTCATATGAATTAGACTCATTTGCACCATCAATTTTACACAAATTAGCAGTAGAGGAGTTACCAATTCATTTATTAGCTGCATATGTTATAATCTTCAAGCCTCCGCCCACAATGAAATCGGTGAAAAGAATGATGCTGTTGATGCTTTTGTGGTAGGTCTCAATAATTTTCCATTTCAAATCGTTACCAATTTTCAGTGGCGCCTATCTGGATCTATTTATCAGTGCCCTCTCCAATCAATATTACGTACTTCCTGCTGCTGCTGGACATACACAAGGTCTTTATACTTATCTTGGAATGCCCATTAAGTGGCAAAACTATATGTACGTGAGCGGTCTATGTCTAGCTGGAGTGTCTATTCTGGGATTTTTTGAAAATCGATTCACCGCTGTGGTTTGTGGTAAAAAAGCTAGTTTATTACATGAGAAATGGAGATTATTTTATATATTAGGTTGGAAACTAAGTCTTTGTGCACTTTTGTTTTCCACTTTTCTCTTAACTGAGCTAGAACAGAACATATGTGTAACGGGATATGGTATATAAGATGATAAGGTTGTTTACAATATACCATCATTTGCCCTGCTCTCATTCCGTTTGCGAACGGGATTCCCCTTTTGATACCCACTGTTTTTGGGTGAAATTTCTGTAAATTGTTTAGATTTATTTCTAACCTGAAAGTATTCGATATTCATCACCGCCTGGTGGAAGTTTACAGAGACAGTGCCCCCATAGAAACACCGTTGCAAATTGAGTTGGCAAGTTCAAGAACCAGGACTTTTCAATGAAAGATGGAACTTGTCCTGGGTAAACAGTTCTTCAAGATTAAGGCAAGCTGAGAGATCTAGTAGAACGGGACCCTTTCCAATCTACCCGTGAAATGCCAATCACTTTAGGGACAACCCATACCACTATTGAAAATGGATTGTTAAAGTTGGGAAAGATAGAAAAACTTGGACGGCGGATACCTCACCGTTTTGACCGGTTTAGATGTTCTGGGGCGAGTGGACATGAGCATGCAACTTCTTACTCTACTCGGGAACATTAAAGGTGGGGGGACAGGAGATTTTTTGTAGGATTTTTGTAGCTAGGGTATGCATTCTAACGTGACGGTGTACAACGCTTAATGTCACTCTGCGTACAGCTGTCGCTCTCGCCTTTATGTATGCAATCGGGCGGCGGCTTCCTCTTTGCCCTCGTGGCTCAGTCGGTAGCGGCGCCGCACCCTCAATCCTCACCCCCACAAGTTCAACTCCTCGAGCGGTATATTTAAACGGAATTTCGAGCACATTATTTTTTTCATTTCTCCCCACCTTTAAGCGGCTGAATTATATTATCACCTTGGATAAGAAGAGGGTCATATATACTAACCATCACAGTAAAGCCCAATGTCTTGACTACGATAAACAGCCCGTAGATGTCATCAAACAAGAATTTCACCCATAAACAGTGGGTATCAAAAGGGGCATCCCGCTTGCAAGCGGAATGAGAGCAGGGCAAATGATGGTTATTGTGAACAACTTTATCATCTTATATACCAGCAGCAAGCTGGTGCGCCTTCGGCGCGATTCAATCTATTTTTTTTCAAATGTTCGTCGCTTCGTTTCTCAGTTATCCGATGGTTCGGATTCAGTGGCCTTTGTAAACGATAAAAAGAGATTTAGTCGAGAAAATTACTAATTTATCCTTATCCAAGGACTAAAATAGTACAAACGATATAAAATATTATGGAAAACCAGCAAAAAACCCTAAAACACACTTCAAAACTACTCTATATCAAAAAACACGACTTGCCACGTCGTCGGCGAGACGGGCGGTACGCGTACGGCATCAGCGGAATTGCGGAGCGTCGTTGCGAGTGGGCGCGTAGTACCGTAAGAAAGGGTTGATGAGTTGGCGGGCATGCCTACCGGCAACTTCCCCCTCCTCCGAAAAACCGGACCCCTGACCGGTGGCATGAAAGGTACAGGACCACTCGACTTATACTCAACTCATACTCCTTTTGAAATTACCGTCACGTGACCCTACGCCTTCCTACTCAAACAATAACACAAGAGATTTCCTAACATGTCTTAACGGCCTCAGATTACAAAAATTGAAACGTCCTATTGACCTCATAAAAATTCTAACTGTCCTATTGACCTCACTAGTTACTACAAAACAGAACAACAATAAAAATTTAATATATTCGGCTCCTTCGCCTTGTCCTCAATTTGCACGGTGCTTCTTGATCTTTGGCTCTGAGTCCTCAACGTCTGCTCTCAGTCGATCCACCAACGAGTGGCCTGGGATGGCGCACGCCAAGTATTCCATCATCTTCTCCAGCGATCCTGGTTTCAAGTCGCAGAGGATCAACGGCATCTTCTTGGGTCCTACTGGAGTCATTGGATCCACGACTTCCACATTCAGCGCCGTCTTCCTTACTTTCTGCCATGTCTCGGTGACTCCACTGTCTCGGTGACTCCTCCAACCTCTCGTCGTATCCGCACTCCATTCTTGCCGGTACCACCACCAATTCCCAAACTTCCTTGGCTATCTCCTCCACCAAGTTCACCAACGCCTTCAACTGCTTATCGTCCTTCGTCCATTCGACCAGAACCACCACCTTCTCCACTTTCTCCCATCCAAACTTCTGCTTCCACGTCGAGATTGTTGCCGTTCTCACTTCGAAAACTGCCTTACTCTTCAATCCCATCCGTTGACCCACGAGAATATACTTCTCCTGGATTATCGCCTTCTGCGGTTGATTCCTATACATCACTTCCTTCTTCAAGCTCTCCGCGGCCTCTCTCCACTCCAATTCTTCCTCCGTCCAGTCGTTTCTCATGATCTTGCTGGCCCATGTGGGACAAATTCCAGCGAATTTTCTGAGTGCTTCGAGTCTTTCCGACTTGCCGAGCTTCTTCCGAAAGTCCTCTTCACATTTCATGAGATTTACATCTTCAGAAGCGATCTTCTCGTTCCTCGCCAATGTACTCAGCGCCAAACTCTTCGGATCATGACACTCCCCTCCCAAGGCTTCCACATAGTGAGCTTTTCCTTTCTGGCATCCGCATTCCTCCTTCTCTTCTTTTCTGTAAGAATTTACATTATCCAACGTCAAATTCCCATCATCTTTTTCATAGTGTTTCCCTTCTTCTACTACATTCACCGCCACCTTCTTTTTCCTACCGCGCTGTCCCCGTCTAGCCTCGGTTTCACACTTCACCTCTGCCATCTCTTTTGGAACCTTCCGAAGTTGCTCCCACGGGATCCATAACTTCTCTTCTCCTCCTATGAG